TTCCGTTCGCGATCTTCCAGCCAGCCAGAATATTATTATTATTTTTTAGGTGGGCCCTTAAAAAAATTAATAATAATTACCGCCCAGAAGAGGGCAGAGAGGTAGACATGACATAGTCACAAAGAGGGCAAGTTATAGTATTTAGTAATTAGCTACCTAGAGTGGTCAGGTAGACCAGATAGGTGGGGTATAAATCAAATAAATAAATAAATAGTGTAGTAGTTTGGGGCTAAGGGTAAAGCGAACCGAGTTCAAATCCTCCACAGAATCATGAAGCTCCAGGGTAGCCTTCGCCGAGTTGCTATTTCGTGGCCTGAGCTACCTCGCAGGGACGTTGTGGAGGGGAATCCAAGGTGCAGGACCAAATCAATGTCCAAACATAGCAAAGAGACCACCCGGATCATTAGTTCAAGGAGCAGGAAAAGAGGAAGTTCAAATTGTGAGATGGATTGACATCCTAAAAGAAGCTACAGACCTGTGTTTGCAAGGCTGCGGAAGACAGGTCATTTTGGAGAACATTCATTCACAGGGTTGCTATACGTCGGAGACGACTTTATGGCACAGAAGAACAACATCATTATCCAAATAAAATGGATTGCGGAGGTTCGGTATTACAATTTCTCCTGACCGTGCTTGGGGATAAAATTCCCGTTTTTCAAGGCCAAGCATGGAAGGACAGGATCTGAACCCAGTACATCTAAAGGAGGCAGGGGGAAGGAACAGAGGAGCCAGCAGCTGGCTAAATCTTCGATTCTGACCGCCTCTCAGCACTGGCTGAGGATGATGAAATTCAGGGACCCGGGGGTACACTCCTTCCTAACACGCTGCAACTTTAATTTTCAGCTCTTGCAACTCCGAGGTTGTAAATAAGGGCGTCGAAGTGGAGAGCCTTCTAGCCTATGGAACACAGCATCTATTCACCCAGAGCCCTTTGTGTCGAAAACTCCCAACCCCATCGTCCCCTGTTGGCTGGAGGTGGTGGGAATTGAAATCCCACACACACGGGAGGCATTCCGGTTGGAGAAGGCTGAGGAATGGGAATTAAAATATTGCCCCCCCCCATTTCCTATTCTGGGTTTTCCTTCAGGCCTAACAAGAAGTGGCGTCGGCGGGTTTCGAACCTGCAACACACACCCCTCCCCGAAATTCGCTTCTGAAAGAGTGACGAGAGGGTAAACGAGAACCAGAATCCTTAGCCGTTTGGCCCGAGCGATGGTGCGTGGTTTTATACGGCTCACCCTCTCGCCATCAGAGAGGTGTGGAATGGCTCAGTGGAGCCTCCACCTCCAGGGGCAGTCTACCTTCAAATGCAACGCACTAGGAGCTGTCAGCCTGTTGTCGGTGGAAGCGACCTCTCGTCTGACCCACATCTTGAAAAAGTTACTGTACTTCTCTTTTTTTTTAACTACATGGCCAGGGGATGCTAGGAATTGTAGTCTTCTCCTGCTCCAAAATAAATAAATAAATAAAAGGGACTTTCTGAACCTCTCCACCAGCTCATCTTCCGTTCTGTTAGCAGGGGGGCAAAGCGTACTTCGTTAACACTTCCCTTCCGCTCTGCGTTCTGGAGGAAACCTCCACCTGAAGGCCTGCAACTCAACAGCCCGGCCACTTTGCTTCTTGGGTGGCAGGTCACGGGTTCGAATTCCGACAAACCTTAGAGACAAGGTGGCCAACCTTTGGCACCCCATCTGCTTTTGGTCCACAACACTCAGAGGCCTTGATCATTAGCCAGACAGCCTGGGGATTCTGGGTCTTGTGGTCTACAAAAAATCTAGACGGCCACTCGTCCACCCCCCTCCTTAGACAGCCCCCCCGTATCAAGATCTGAGAATACAAAAGCCACATTCCTGCCCTCTGCTTTAATACAACCCTTTGCAACCATGAGGACTAGGAACTTTATTTCCTTTTGAAGGAAAGGAGCGTAGCCTAGGGGCAGAGGACCCCCCCTGGCATGCCCCTCCTCAGGGGTCAGATACCTGTCCAACATTTTTGCAAAACCTCCAATAATCTGCAAAAAGAATAATAACGTGGGCAGACCGGTGGTTCAATTTAGAAGAAGGCGAAACCCTTCCAGCTTTTCAATTAAGGCTGGCCCGAGTTTTCAGCATGGCGGATGCAGAAGGGGGAAAAAAATCATGATTTTGTTCCAAAACCTGAAATTAAACAATTTGTCAGCTTCTCTTCTGCCATGGGCTCTGGGTGATTCAAACGGGGATCGGGACCATAATCTATCAAGGCTTGACCTTGTGCCTTTGAACACTCTGATCTCTTTAAATCCACCTTTATCTTTGCTTGATCACTGCGTTCTTAAACACTGGGTGAAACCCTCCGTCAACATGGTATACCTAGTTTGTTTATTTACTCGGCTTTTCTCCTTAAAAAGGACTCAAGGGCCCTCACAATATGAAAAGACAATATTTAAAGCTAAAAATCAAGGCTTGACCTTGTGCCTTTGAACACTCTGATCTCTTTAAATCCACCTTTATCTTTGCTTGATCACTGCGTTCTTAAACACTGGGTGAAACCCTCCGTCAACATGGTATACCTAGTTTGTTTATTTACTCGGCTTTTCTCCTTAAAAAGGACTCAAGGGCCCTCACAATATGAAAAGACAATATTTAAAGCTAAAAACAGGAAATTTAAATATGAAAAGAGAATATTTAAAGCTAAAAACAGGAAATTTACAAATACTAAAAAGGATCGAACAAATGGCACTCTTAAGAAATGGTAAACAAAAGCAACAATAAAAACATTCAATGCAGGAAGGCCATTTTAAGAAAAAACCCACTCAGGCAGCCCGCCATTGAGGGGAAGCCTGCCTGAAGAGCAAGGTCTTGGCCTGCTTGCGGAAAGAGAACCAAGATAGGGCCAGCCTGGTTTTCCAGTGGCAGGGAGTTCCACGGTCTGGGAGCAGCCACAGAGAAGGCCCTCTCCGGTGCCCACTGAAACAGCAGAATGGGTGAAATAATTGAACCACCAAATCCCCATTCATTCAAAGTACCTTACTGCTGGATTTCAGCCCCTGTGTACACACAGTTCTAACTTACGCCCAGTTCCCACAGCGTTTCCAGAAACCTCCTAGATGAATCTAAATTAAAGATTACTCTATGTGTGACTCAAGAACCATGTCATACGAAAAATCGCTCTCTTTTTAAAACCACCTGCTGAATCCTCTCCGGATTTCTTCCCTCCCCACAAAAATACATTTTTTTAAAAAAGGATTCATTTTCGGGGGGAAAAGAGGATGAAGCTGAGAAATAATCTAGTGTACTTTAGCAAAAAAATTGGGCTTGACGTCAGAAATAGGGGCACAATACGATTTGTGCTATTTTTTGCGCTCTTTCGAAATTTTAGCCAGCGATGAATCAAACTTGGCGGATTCCGTCACCACCCGTCCCGACACATTGAGGACTAGAATCCTGTTGGGGTTTTAAACTAAAGGTTGATGCTGGAGATCAACACTGAACATCTGGCCCTGCCGAGGCAATTTCTGAGTCTAAAACGCGCCAAATTTCAACAAACTTTTATTCCCATCACAATGGGAGAGCAGAAAACTGGATTGGGTCCACACACACACCCAATCTCACATTATAGGCTTTGCTTTCCTCTTTCTGGGGAAATAAAATACCCCACCAGACAGAACACTCAAATGCTCTATGGGGCCAGAGCTACAAATTTTTGTTCTTTGGTATTCATCATCATCATCCACACGATCGTATTTCTGATCACCACACAGAGGTATGAAAGCTGGGCAATAAAGAAAGGTGACAGGGAGAATAAATTGATTAATTTGAAATGCGGTGCCGGAGGAAAGAGCTTTGTGGATACCCGGGATGGCTAGAAACACGAACAACGGGGTCCTCGATCAAAGCAAGCCTGAATTCGTTTGAAATGGGGTGCTGGAAGAAAGAGGTTTGTGGATACCCGGTATGGCCAGAAAGATGAACAAGGGGGTCCTCGATCAAAGCAAGCCTGAATTCTCTCTGGAGGCAAGAAAGTTGAAACTGAGGCTGTCCTACTTTGGGCACCTCTTGAGAAGGACGGGTTCCCTGGTAAAGACCAATCATGGTGGGGAAGGTGGAAGGCAGCAGGAAAAGAGGAAGGCCGAATATAAGATGGACCAACTCACTAAACGAAACCACAAGCTTTAAGTTTGCAGGAGCTAAGCCAGGCTGTGGAGGACAGGTTATTTTAGAGATTGTTTGTTCATGGAGTCGCCAAACATCGGAGGCATCTTGACAGCACATAACAACGACAACAACAATAACAATCTATCAAATATACCCTATAAAGCAAATCGGCAGGGTGGGGTGGCAGAAGCATGAATAATAGCCACTGTAGGTCCTTTTAAAGGGGAAAGGTGGGGTAAAAATATTTTAAATAAAGAAACCGTAACAGCGACGGAGGAAAAGACCCATAGGTACGCACTTAAAATGGAGGGTGGTGAAAATTCGCCTATTTCCGACCCATCAGGGTCAGAAGTCCACCGGGATGGTGAAAGGTTTTAATACAGGAACTCGTCCGGGTTAGAAACAATCCTGGAAGCCCTTTTGCAAATCCAAATCTGGGCTGTATGTTTTTTTCAGTATGATCCAGCCGTGAAATGGGCAGAAATGCCCACGCCAAGATTTTTTTTTTTCTCCCTGACTTGGGTTTCCTGGACTGGCAGGTTGGCACGGAAGGGTAAAAAAAAAAGTTATTTTTTTTTCCTTCCCACCTCAGCCAAAAAAAGAAGCCGGGCATTTTGCAGCTCCAAAGCAGCCCCTCGGCTTCGACGGAACGGCCTTTTTCGGAGGCGAGGCATGTGGTCGGTTTTCGGCACCGGGCGCTTTCTCTCCCGGGGAAAGTTGGCACGCGGGCACCTCCGAGGCCCTGGTGGGCACCGGGCGCCCGAGCTGGGCCGACCCAGAAAAGTGGGACACTCTAAGGAGTGGGGGAACAGGGCCCCCCCACGTTCCACGCCTTCTGCCCCCCCAACGCGGCCACCCTTCACTCACCCCTTGGCGTGGGTCCTGCTCCACCGTGTCGCCGGCCCTCCTCTTGCCCCGTTCCAGAAACCAGCGTGGCAACTCTGAGAAAAGCTGGCACAAGCTGGGGGTGGCTGGGTTTCGCCTCCGATTCCCACCTCAAAAGGTGGCAACGCCCACACCCCGGGTTACGCGGCGGCACCCTCTCTCGCCTTCATCCCCTCCTCTCCTCCCACCCCTCAACGCGATTTTTTTTAACCCTTTATCATACACCCCCCCACCCAAGTTTTGCACGGGTGTGTATGCGTGTGTGATTGATTTCCGCTCCCTGGCACCCATCCCGCCCTCCTGGCACGTCATTTCTAAAACTGCCCCCCACCCAAGGCTTGGAACCAAACAAGCTGATGGAAGAAAGCAGCAAGGAGCAGGCCAGTGGGGGCAGTCCCGAGTTCGAATCGCGCCTCCAACTCCTCCCCACCCGCCACAAACTCGCCACGATAGGCTCTGCCATGTTTTCGTCGGTCCCGGCCTCCTAGATTTCCCTGCCTCCCGATGAATCTTTCTCCAGCAATAAATACATTTTTTTTTAAAATTCGGTTGCTCTTCCAGAAGGCCTCCGGGAGGTGCAAGGCAGCGGAGCTATTCCAGATATCACAGCAGCGCCACCACCACGGCTTCGCGGAAAAATATGGCTGTTTATCACATGTGGAAGACTTCCAGTTTCACGTTTGGGGGGGGGATGCCAGGGTCAGAAAAATATTTGCCACCAAAGAACCCTGATACCTCTGGCCTGGATTTCTTGGCTTCTGCTTTATAAAGGCCTCAAAATACACCATCTGAATGGGGTTACAGGAAAGCTGGCACTCCGATACATACTGGCATAATCAGGTATACAGCCACTAGGCTCCATTTTTTAAAAAAAGGGCCAAATTTGATTGGCGTTGATGGGAAAAAAGATGTATTTGGACTACAATTCCCATCGTCCTCCGGCCAGCATGACAACCAGTAGCCCTCCCCCGTGACTTTGGCAAGTTCGGAATGCAAACGGAAAATGGCACTCTGCACATGCTCTGAAGCACCCTTTCCTACGCTCCTATTGCTATGCACCTTTTGCCAACAGCGCCACCTACCTCCGGAGGAAATAAAAGGACAGGGGAGCATTAGAGAAAGCTCTTAGCTGGGTTTTATATGGTCCCATTTTATATCTCCAGTGCTGGTCACGGGTTCCAATGTCTCCACAGGACTCAAGACGAGGTCTCGCCAGTGCCAAACAAAGGGGGGGGGGGAAACGTAGATCTCACGAGATCGCCGTTCTGTTGTTCTCTCGCTTTTGTTGCCCTACTTTTAAGACCTGGATTGTGTCACCCCACTGGGGCGAGGCTGGGCCCGACCTGCCCCAACTCGCCCTGGTGGACCGCCCGGCCAGGTGGGCGCTGTCCCAACCTCGCCGTGCGGCGCCCCCACCCAAGCCCCTCCCCGAAAGAGCCGCCCTGACTCAACCCCGGAGCTGGAGATTTGCCTGCTCCCGAAGAGGCTGGCCGGGGGGGGGGGGGGG